ATACACCGACTCTAACTTTGTAGTCATTATTGGGTATTTTGCGGTTACCGTGTAGAGCGATTTCGATGTTTCGACTTGAATATACGCTATTTCAAAACCACCCAAATTTGGCCCATCTGTCAAAACTGAACCTACCCAAAAATGGGTAAACTATGTTGGGAGTGACAAGTTGACAAATGAACAAAGTCGATCGGATTCATTTCGATTAGAGTCGGTGTATAATTATACACCGACTCTAATTTCGATGATGTCAATTTGTCAACTTGTCACTCCCAACATAGTTTACCCATTTTTGGGTAGGTTCAGTTTTTACCGATCTGGTTCGATTCTATCCAAATTTGGGTAGTTTTGAAATAGCGTGTAGTCTGAGGTTTCATTCCAACAGAGGACGGTGGTTTGGTACACTCAAAGATAAATTAAATCAAAAAAGCTTAAAAAGTATGCAGATTCCCGCTTCACCTTATTGAGTCCGAGCCATGATTACTTCGGCAGTAGTCATACATGATTAAATTCGAAGTAATCTTTCCAGTATTAAATTTTATTCTTTTTGAATATTAATATGTAATCAAATATAGGGGAAATGACGGCTTTGGCATGCCAGACTATTTTCGGCAACCCACACTATTTTCACTGGATTTTCATACGAAAACACTTCGCTGAATGCATGCAAACGATTCCTTATGCTTTCAGCTTCAATTTGACTATATTTTTACCACTGAGAAAAAGCAATCTAGCAAGGTTTTCTTGAAATGAAACACACGCACTACAAATTGTAGCTGATTTCGAGTTGCCGATAATAGAACAGCAAATTTACATGCAGTTCAAATGGAACGGTTGCCGAAGAAAAACTGGTTGCCGACAATACTCGCTCTCACTAGAGAAGATTGGAGCTTTGTAAAAGCGTTTCAAAACAGTTTTTGACAATTCTTTCGACTGAAATTGTTAGAGCAGCTGGCAGCAATAGATTGTAAACAAACCAATACTGCATATGTGTGCGTTCCTTAGAGAAAAAGGCTATAGAAAGAAGGTCGCTGCTTAGGTTGCCGAGAATACGTAAATTCCCCTATTAAAATTCAATCAAAAAGTTTTAAAATAGACTCAAAAATGATTAGAATTTATTCAAAAAAGATAATTTTCAGTCTAATCAACCATGATTAAACTGGGTTTAATATAAGATGATTATTTTTTAGAAAGAGAGTATTAATTGTTAATTATTCGATATGATTGAACTGAGCTTAATGTCAAATTGATTAAATTTCAAGCAAAATGGGAATAGTTTAATTTATCAGTATATATAGATACTATAGATTCCATAGATAAGCGGAGGCACAAAAAGTGTTTTTGGCAACCATGAAAAATAAATCTAGATAGAGCTGGAATTAGGGCCTAACAGCTTGTGTAAACAATGATTTCAATCGATGATTTCTAGAAACTCAAGGCTCGCCCACACAAACCAACCTCCTCATTGGGTAGGGAAAGACTTTCCCTATCCGATGGTTATGTTGGTCTGCGTGGGCGTGCCTTTAGTTCCTAGAAATCATCGATAGATGACATTGTTTACAAAAGCTGTTACGCCCTAATTCCAGCTCTATCTAGAAATGCTCTTACTGGCATTCGTGAAAAATGTTCATGCCATCATGTAGCTCTTCGTTGTGCAGTTTTGTTTTGTTTTGTGCCCAAAAGTTTAAAATGAAGTGCAAAGCAAATCTTTGCAACATTGAATCAAGGAGTGGTTTGCGTATTATTTCCTTCTTCCGTTTTCTGCCAAATAAATCAATATGTGGATTGTGGAAAGCGTTTTGTGCCCATAATATTACAATACTTCCCCTGCAAAACACTCCATGATGACGTCATGCTCGTTTGATTATAGAGATTTTTGACGTTTAATCGGCGCACACTACTGTACCATTTAAAGCGCACGAGTGCGAGCAAGAGGGAAATAGATTAGTGGGAAGGTTTGTTTTCGATTCATCCATGTGTGCTAGATAAAGAAAGGTGATTAAACGTCAAAAAGGTCTATTGTCACTATACACTAACTGACAGTTAGTTTGGCTACATTCTACTTTGCCTCCGCTTATCTACACGGGTAACCGCATTTTCGAGGGAGACTGGGACTACCCATTAAATGAGTAAAAAGATTACCCATTTATGAGTATTTGTTACTCACAAATAAATACTTACACGGATAGAAATCTCCTTATACCTTTTGGCAAATTTCTATTGCTGATTATTCATAAAATGTATAAGTCAACTAATAAGCAGACGCCTTGCAAAAAGTTAATGAAGATCATGTGTCAAATGAAATGCATAAGCGCTCACACATACCTTTTATGCATTCTTATACGACCTATGTGGTTTGTATTATGGAATGTATAAGGCTGATGTTTTGGCAAAAATGTATAAGTGAAACACATGAATAAAATAATTGATTTTCGTTTCGTGTACTACTTATTTTTGTATCCGACCAACCATTCGTGAAACTTCTTCAAAGTTCTTTATACAGAAATAAAGATTTATGTCGGCAATTCTTTACTTTAAATTTTCTATGATTACTGTAGGAAGTAAGAGCAAGTAAGCTGTTGATAAATAAATATAAAATATTTAAATACTGATATCATCGTAGCTTTGAACTTTGACAAAGAGCAACAAAGATTGCCATCGATGCACATTTATAATTTCCTGGTTATCGATTTGCATCGCTGGTTAAAGAGAGTTCGAGACACACCAGGTGACAGTTGGCAATGTTTATATTATTTATCGACATATTCGGCATTTCATCGGAAGAAGCAATCTGCCGGTAAATGAACGAGAAGACCGATGGCCGCGACGCAGCAAATGTTTACCATTGTAGTAAAATTGATACCTTTTTGATCTCTATTACACCTACATGGCTGACTGGTTGATGGTTATGACAAATAAATATTGAATTCATGTATGAAAAGATTTACATAAATTTCAATACACCACATACTAGAGTGTGTTTGCCTGTCGTTGATAAGCTCATCAACAGCAGCCGTGGACCCGAGGATTAGCAACCAACAACGAAATCAAGTACACCCCAGATGGCATGGGATCGAAACTAGAAATTATGCAGATAAAAAATCACAAATAAAATCAGCAGTTGTGTATCGATATTTTGATTTAACAACCGAAATCGATATTTTGATCTGGCAACACAATCGATATTTTAACATTGGTAACGATTGGTAGCAATATTTTGAGAAAGATCTTTATAAACGATTCACGATTAGACTTTTAGCATCTTTATAATTATTCATAAAATGGTGACGATCGCTATCGAAATTTTTCTACCCAAGATGTCTTCTAAATTCATTCCCCTTTCCATAAGTACCGTTGAATTTGATAAAGAGCCACACATTGTTGAGATATTGTTAAAAATCTAACACTGCTTCTTGATTCCAAATCCGTCCTACGAGTTTCAATTCCGTCCAAACGCATTGAAACGCCATTGGATTTTCTTCGTCCTACGGATGAAGGTAGAAAAAGCGAGTTTGCTAGGAGCGCTTCTTTTGTTTTGAGAACAATGAGTGTAAATATGCACATAATACGCTCTAATACGCTTTGTGTTGTAGCTTGTGAACTAACGCATCGGTACAAACGTATTACTGATTTGTGCACCTTGAAATCATTGATTATACCTAGGATTATACTGATGTTTTCTGCTCGATAGAACGGAAATGGACGATTACGACGAAGTAGCGCTCTACCCTATATGTTTAAAATAAACTTCAAAATCATGTTTAAAGTAAAAATATTTATTTTAGATTCAAAAAAATGTCAAAGCAAAAATATTCACGTTTATTTTCAACACGAATATTTTTAAAATAAACGTAGCATGACTTTTATTTTAAACATTGATGTCACATGACATTAAACATAAAATACGTTTGAAATAAATCTAATTTATTTTTGTGGCCAGAACAAACTGAGTTTACGTTTATATTTACCTCAAATATTTTTATTTCGATAATATTTTTTTAATCGATGTACGATGTACATCGATTTTGCGAACAAAATTACATCCATTGATGTATTATTGCATCTGCTTTTTGCTATTACACAGCAACAAAAATGTAATATCGGTCAATGTAATTCAAGCTGATGTATGAAATAATGATGTAATAGCAATAAGCAGATACAATATTACATCAATGGATGTAATTTTGTTCGCAAAATCGATGTACATCGTACAACGTTATATTACACAACCGATGGATTGACCTGGGTGCAGCAGTTTGGATTTAATATTCAACAACTTTTTTTTCTGTGTACATCATTATTTCATATACATCAGCTGCATTTTTTTTTGCTGTGTATACTATAGGAAGGTTTCGTGGTTGATGTCTTCGATAATTCCACATTATCCACAGCCGTGAATTTTTACACAACTACACCTTAATTAGTTCCAACTACCTTGATCCAACCGTCGACGCATCGTTCTGCAGCTGTCAAGCCAACTGTCACATCAATTTAGAAAGTTCTCAACCAACAATTGAAATGGGCCTATCAGCTTTTGTAATCAATACTTTGAAAGCCTTTTTCTCGCAAAGAATAGGCCGCTCACGCAAAACAACAGCATCATAGGGTAGGATAGAATTTTTCCTACACGATGATGCCATTGATTTGCGTAAGCGGCCTTCGTTTTGCGAGGAAAGGGCTTAAACATTTTGTTTCAAAAATCTGGTAGGCCCTTTTCAGTTATTGGTCGAGAGTTTTCTGCAAAAAGGTTTGTCCTCTCTCCGGCAAACAGCCAGCAAAAATTATTCAGAGTGAATTGGCGAGTTTTTCATTCCTTCTAGCCGTGAAAAGTTGTACAGTAGATAGTTTTTACGGTCCATCAAACAGGTTTTATTTTGTTTCGACAATGCGAGTACCTGCTGGCAGCAACATTAAGTTATCATAGATCGTGTCTAGCTCATAGTCTACGCCGCATAACACGATAAACACAGCAAGAAAATCGTCTGCTCCATCCCATCGGAGCCACCAAAAATCCTTTAATTGGAACTTCCTGCAAACTTCATAGGAATCTCTAGTGTTAACTATCTCGAACAGAATAAATTCCGACAGCATCAGTGATGTCTCCCCACAAATGAGTGCTATTGGATGAGGATAGTATTTTGTGACTCGAATAAACGTCGAGTGGCTGGACGCTAGCAAGGACAAAGTGGTGGTGGCCTAGATTTGGTCGGGAATCATTGAACTGCGAGACAAAGGTTACCACTGAGAAACAGCGATAACGCACAGACGTGAGGAAAGACATGCTGAAGGTATGTAAATATTATTCACTGACCTTCGACAGACACTGCAAATGGACAAGGCTAGATCCATGATTCGCGAGTCGTGAAATGTTACTTTCTTCTGCATACCTAATTCAATTACGAAACAGTAATCGATTTGCAATTATGTTTATGTTTCTATGTGACTAATTATGGTGCTTTAATGAGTAACTGTTCGGATTTTGATAACTCAGTAGGTTAATTTCGAATACTCAAACGTGACTAATAATGATCCACGCAATCTTTCAGAACAACCAGACGTCATTCGAGGAAAAATGGCCCCAAATGCGGCCGATAGTGCTGAAGCTTTTAAAGCAGGAACCGGTCACGCACTCCGAATGGCAGGAGCTATTCTATGCGGTACATTTGGTGTGCCTCTGGGATGACAAGGGTCCTTCCAAAATACATGACTGCCTCCAGGAGGACATCGTAACATTCATCAAACAAGCCCAAAGCCGAGTACTTGCGCAACGCGAGGAACAGGCCCTGCTGAAGGCATACATCGTCGAATGGAGAAAGTTCTTTACCCAGAGCAGTTATCTACCATTACCATTCTGGCAGTTGGAGAATGCCCTGCAGGTGAGTTGGCACCAACAAAAGTGATTTTAGTTCGCACAAGACAGTCCTTCATTCATGTGTTATAAATGCAAACGTTGTCGTGTGTGGTGGTCGCAGAAACCTGAATGTTTGCAAGGGTTTTCGTTAATACTGTGCTAGTACAATGGATATGGAGAGCTGGGTTCAGAATGTTAAAGCTATAAAATAAATGAATTTTTTATTCCCTAAATCGGATTTTAACACGAAAACGTACCTACACACTTAGATTTTTTCGCCGAGATGGGCACCACCGAGCAGCTCGGCATTTTATTTTGCTGGATCTCAGTGAAAAACTTGCCGAGATTCAGCTAACAAACGGGAATTTTGCCGAGATCTCAGCTAACAAACATATTTTTTGCTGAATTACCAGCAAAATAAAATGCCGAGCTGCTCGGTGGTGCCCATCTCGGCAAAAAAATCTTAGTGTGTACTACGTTTTCTGTTTGAAGTCGTCAATTTTTCCCCTATCCTTTCCATAGTAGCACACGTAACCAACTTTTTGTTCCGTCTCATGTTTGTCAATCTACCGATAGCCAGCGCTTGTTTAAGTAAGGAATATCGGAACGACTTCAATTGAATTTTTGTTCAATTTGAGGTGTTCAGAATAATTCCTAAACAACCTGACCTCTTCAAGGACTTCATTTCAATTTCAGATTAGTTGAAAGTTACCTTTTCGAAGAATATCTAAAGGACCTCATTTGAATTTTTGACTGATTTTAGGTCTTCAGAAAAAATCCTGATCGTCCTGACCCCTTCGAAAAAAATATCTGAAGGCCTTCTTTTTAATTTATAATCAGTTGAAGATCTCCAGAACTATTTCTTATATTCCTGACCTCTTGTAGGAATATCCGAAGGACTTTATTTGAATTTTTAACCAATTAGATTTTTAAATAGCCGTATCTGCTTTTGTAGGTGGGGATTCAGGCTCAATTTGTCGAAGCTCTAGTGGCTCGATAACGCAAATTGACAAATTGACGTTTAAATCTGTGGCAGATGCGGCTGTTTGAAGATTCACTCTTGAATTCGAGGACTTCAGAATAACTTCTGATCAACCTAACCACTACAATGAATATCCGTAGGATTTCAGTTGAATTTCTGACCAGTTGTAGGTCTTCAGAATACTTCCTGATCTAATTGAAAAAAAAAATATAGGAGTTTTTTTGAACTATTGTCCTATTGTAGGGCTTCAGAACAATACCTGATCAACCTGACCTCTTGGAGGAATCTTTTGTGGACCTAATTTGAATTTTTAAAAAGCTGATGCTTCTCAGATCAATTTCTGATCACACTAACCCCTTAAAAGAATATATAAAGGACTTCATTTGATGTTTTGGCCAATGGTTGATCTTAAGATTAATTATTTATTATGTTTACCAATTTTTGAACATTTCAAGCTGAACAATGTATTAGATCCTACGTAACATTGATCGATTCTCTTCACCGTTAATAACTTGGGTACTGAACCGTTTCTTGTCGTGTTTGTCGTATACAAAGCTAGATAATAGCTTGTTTCATCGATCTGTGTGTTGAAATTACCTGGGAATGTCTTAACCTGGCCGTGAGGATGCAAAGAGAAAGTCGACGAAGGGAATCTGTCAATGTTACTTAGGACCTAATGCCTGAGCTTGATTTAGTGTTTTTTTTTTGGATCGCGATCAAATGTTATAAATTAACAATGTGATCCCAAGACACGATTTTTATCTATCAATCTAAGACAGCTGATGCAAGCAATGGGAAATTAAGCTCCGTTCTCATAAATGTTCGATTTGTTGTGTGGCAAAATAATCGCGATAAATGATCAACAAGTGCGTACATGTAGGAACTAAATATTTCCGGAGTGATTTGAGATTTGGGCGTAATTGCTTTTGTAAACAAACACGTCAATTACTGATTTCTCTTGAATAAAAGCTCAATCTCACAAACAAACTATACCAAATGATAGAAGAATCATTCCTCTACCTCATAGTGTTATTACTTTTCGAGATTGAGTTTTATTCGCGAGAAATCGGTGATTGACGTGTTTGTTTACAAATGCAATTACGCCCAAATCTCAAATCACTCCGGATTTATGATATTCTTTAAAAATTAGGCAGGCTAATCATGGAATAGAATAATTCAAGTTTTATGAATGTTTATTCACAGATGATTTTTTATGCATACGTGTCGTCAAAGCCCCATATGCACATAGCATAAAAATTGTAGGCTACAGTGCTGACATCACCAATGGTGGCGACTTCAGCAACTCTCCTTCTTGGTAGATAATTGGATTTTACCTGGTACTAGCGCCACTAGTGACACGAAAGTGACTAGCATTGCGCAAAACAGTCAGGTTCAATGAGTCATTTTCATATGAATATGAACTGCCATCTGGCTCATCATTCATTGTCTTGTGAGAGTCTGAATGATTGAAAGATTAACGAATCACTGACAGCCAATCACTCAGTCAGCACGTTTATTCTTCCGTGATGGTACCCAATCCTTGTTTTGAATGACTGCGCGTACATTTTCTATGGAAAAATGCCTCAATTACATGCTGTGTGAGCGAAAGCAAGCGGTGTGAGTCGCCTGTTCGAGAGTTTCTGAATGTTTTTATTGGCTCTTTCATTGCCTCGTCCTTTTCCGTTTGGTACAAACTGTCTGGACAGAGCAATGGATTGAATAGTGCAGTGCCTTCATACTCAGTCTAAGCAGCCAATAATGTTACCTGGTGACATCACTGTAAATTGAGTGATTAGCAGTTCACAGTTGTAATTTGTTAAACAAAATAAAAACAGCATTAATCCAAAACGAATAATATTTAATCTTAGATGTTTGTTTTAAGTTGAGAGCCAGCAAAATGCTCAATACAGATGCGTTAAAAGCCTAGAAAAAGTGAATCCTTCTGTTTTCATGAACCGTGTATCGCCAACATCTGTCAATAAGCTTGTTCCCGTACTTGCTTTTGCTGTAGGTGGCTGCAGCTTTCTGTAAGTTGCTAAAGACTGGAACGCGCAAAAAATGGTCGACAAAAGATCGTTTCTTTCAGTCAAAATTCATATCGCAAAAATCTTCTTATTTTTCTTTTGGTAGTTCAATTCATATATTTAAAGAAAAAATGTTCGTTTATTCTTTTGGTTTGCCAAATCCGAACTGCCGTGCCTTCCGCTTAACCCCTTCCATTAAAGTTTGCACAGTGGTCTCATCAACCTTATTCGCCGCCGAACGCCAGTTAGATTTAAACTGCTGCTCGTTTTCCATGGATTTATTAGTTTTTTTTTTTTTAGATTCCGTTTGACCAAGGCCCAATGCCGTTCGATAGGGCGGAGTTTTGGGCTGTTGGTAGGGTTGTGGTCTTTGGGTACCACAACCACGTTGTTCGCATCGTACCACTCGATTGCCTTTTTCCCATAGTGGCAGCTCACCAAGTCCGGCTAGAACAGCACAGGTCTATTATGTTGCTTTAGGAATGGTAGCAGCCACTTTTCCAGGCACTTCTGGACGTAGATCTCTTGATTGATGGTTCCCGTAGTAATGAAAATGCCGCTTTTTAGACCACACGTGCATATGGCCTGCCAGACGATATATTTTTTTCGGGAACTTCGATAGTTTGATGATGGTTCAGCCACCTTCCCTTTTCCTGATGCGGTATAAAACTCCTGTCCCGGTCGTCGTCCATGACGACACAGTCGAACTTTGTGAGCAGATTCGTATACAGCTTTCGGGACCGCTGCTTTGCCGACGTGTTTTGTTTGTAATCTCGGTTCGCCACCTTCACCTTCTTAAACGTCGACAACCCGGCTCGTTTCTTGGCCCGCTGCACAGTAGTATGGGAGACATTGAGCTTGCCAGCGACGTCCCGGATGGAGAGGTTAGGATTCCGCTTATATTTCACCGGCACCTTCTTCGTCGTCGCTGCCACGTCCGGATTACGATTGCCGCCGCTTCCAGGCTTCCTGGCGGTCAACAGACGCTTCCCGAACACTTTTAAAACGTTTTTCACGGTCGATTTGACCACATCCAGCAATTTTGCCAACTTGGTGTGTGAGAACGTCGGATTTTCTTGCTGCGCGAGCAAAATTTTAACACGCTGCTCCTCTTGCTTGCTCCTTTTGAAAACTGGAGAGCAAACGGTGAAAACTCATCATAGCAACCATTGTACATACACTCAACAGAAATACACCAATTTGATGTTCTAGAGTGGACTCAAGAGAAAGAAGAAGTTAATCAGATGCGATTAGTACCCTTATACCCCGTTCACATTACAGCGTATATCACGTGATATACGGTGTCTTGCAATGAGCACTCATACATCTTGTTTTCACTGGAAATCCTATGTATGAGTGCTCATTTCAAGACAGCCTATATTACGTGATATAGACTGTAATGTGAACGGGGTATTAATTCCAATAATACTGCAATTCACATAATACAAACTAATACCCCGTTCACATTACAGCGTATATCACGTGATATACGCTGTCTTGCAATGAGCACTCATACATCTAGTTTTCACTGGAAATCCATGCTCATTTCAAGACAGGCTATATTAAGTGATATAGGCTGTAATGTGAACGGGGTATAAAGAAGTCTATTCATCATCCTCTACGTTATACCCCGTTCACATTACAGCGTATATCACGTGATATACGCTGTCTTGCAATGAGCACTCATACATCTAGTTTTCACTGGAAATCCTATGTATGAGTGCTCATTGCAAGACAGCCGATATTACGTGATATGGGCTGTAATGTGAACAGGGTATTAAGGTCGACCAGCAGATGGAAATGATGATAAAATGAAAATGACGTTTTGCTACCTGTCAAATCGTATGGAATATTTTTTAGTACATCATCACTTTTGTGGTTTTGGATTTCAAACCTAGGTGTCGCATGCACTGGTGCAGTTTCGCGTAGATTCATCAATTGGCGTCTTGCAGTGAAACTTTTCCAAGCTTTCGCCACCTACATTTCGAAGTGAGAACTACTAGAAGGAGGATAGTTTCC